TTCCTGCTGCTGCAGAACCTTCCTTTTCTGGCCAGGACAAGTCTTCAATTTCGAGATCAGTGTCCCTCACCAAGATATTCAATCCTCTCATTAAGAGAACTTCATCGTTACCTGTGGAAGAAATTGCGCGTGCAAACGCAGAATCTGCTCTTGCTACTTCTCCATGTGTAAGATTTCAAGCCTATAGCAGTAGAGTTTTAAAATCACTCTTTAACAAATGGGCATCTTGTGTTTTCAATAACAAAGAGTTTCAACATAAGGATTTAATTATTTGCAGGATTAATAGTGTTTACTGCTCCTTTTTTGTTTCCATGCTATTTTGTCATGTGGTGGTCAATCTCTGCATGACATAATTTAGATCCTTAGTTTATAAGAAAGAGTAAATAAAAGTATTAAACTTCATTATGTATATCATGTTGGCTGGGACCATGTAATAATTTCTCCCTTTTGTTAGTGTCACTTGACTCACTTCTGTATTCAATTAGTGTTGCATCATTAAAAATGTATACTTTTTGCTTTAATTTTTTTGGTCCTTTTGCAGAGAAGAGAGATCCAGGGGATGATTGCTCGTTCTCGTTCAGTGCCTGTCAATAACAACGAAAAAGGCATAAGGAAATTGGATTCAGTTTTCCGCATTATTCCTTCAACCCCTCGCGTAAATGAAGTGAATGAAACAACAAAGAATACTGGTAACTTGTTATATGCACTTCAATAAGTACTCATGACAAATAAAAAAAATTTCATGTCAAATCTCCAACAAGATTATCTGAATTGACACAGTTTTGACATGTCATTATTAGGAAAAATATTAACATTATATTTGCAATTGTATGGCTTCTTTTTAACTTATCCATGGTTTGAATATAAATTAATCGACATCTCGTATTGCATTGTATATAATTATTGTCTGTCATTTATTTTTAATCTTTCTACATATACTCTTAATCTCTTATCAAAAGATACACTGCAAAATAAGAGGCAACTGTTTTGTTATCCCATTTCATTGTTGATAAACATCATCCGTAGATTGAAACGTTCTCTCAGTCAAACGGATTGTTCCTTGTGTTATTCCCAGAACTTCCTGTTTAAAATAAAAATTCCATTGAGTGGTGGTGTCTTTTGTCTTCTTGGCACTTAAAAATAGCTAAAAATGTTTTCCTTTTTTAAAAATTAAACCTCACTTTCTTTGAAGGCATCTTAGTTTAATTTCTAAATATAGTACAGATTGTTTCCAAACCTACATGCACTTATTAACTTAAAAGCAATTCTTGGCTCAGAAAATGGTGACGGTGAAGACATTGCTGAAGAGGAAGCCGTGTGCAGAATTTGTCTGGTTGATCTATGTGAAGGAGGTGAGACATTAAAGATGGAATGCAGCTGCAAAGGTGAACTTGCTCTGGCTCACCAAGAATGTGCTGTTAAATGGTTTAGTATCAAGGGTAACAAGACCTGTGATGTGTGCAAGGAGGAGGTTCGGAACCTCCCGGTCACTCTCTTGCGGATACGAAGTGTTCAAACTCAGAATACTGGAGCAACTTCCGAGCATGGAGATGAATACAGGCATGTGTAGTTATTTTATATAAAGATCAGTATTCAGTACTAGTATGCCATGAGTGATTCATGCAAATACGCTTCAATTGGGAGCTAAATAATGTAATAAAATCTTTTGTTTAGCTTGTTCATAGAATCATACTAAATCAATGTTAATAATCATGAACCAACCACCATATGCTTCAAGTAGTTTATAAAATATTATTTTGAAATCAATATTTTTCTCGAAGTTCTGCAGCCAATATACTAGTGTTCAGTCTTACAAGTTACAGCTGGAGTAGTGTTCATGTTGTGTCTTTCTTGTACTATAGATTATTGTTACACAGAACAGTGAGGAGTGAGAACACTTCTTAATTTGAGTGCTTATTTTGACAGGGCTTGGCAGGAACTCCCAGTGCTTGTCATTGTCAGCATGCTAGCCTATTTCTGTTTCCTTGAGCAGCTGTTGGTAAGAATAGAAGTCCTATCAGATCTATCATAGTTCAATTTTATATAGCCTCATTTATTCAACTCTCTGCATTGCAGGTTGGAAAAATGGGAACCAAGGCAATTTTCATCTCTCTTCCATTTTCTTGTGTCCTGGGCCTACTCTCCTCCGTGACATCATCAACCATGGGTATGTTCGCAAGAGATACTTGATAAATTTTGTCAAGATACTTGATGTGGCAATTGCTGACTCATTTATTACATATTACATAATTCATATGTTGGTTTCACTAACCTATGAATACCCTAACTTCAATTTTTTTTCCAGTGAAGAGCAGGTTCATATGGATTTATGCATCTGTCCAATTTGTGTTGGTGGTCTTATTCGGCCATGTATTCTACCCCTTGGTAATATATTTTGATATGAGCTAAAATTCTTATTACACAAATTTTCATATGAAGTTAAGACTGATGACATTATTTGGAGACGCTGTAGAAAAAAATTATTTTGAGAAATAAATATTAAATAGTCAAAGGGATCAGCCATTAATTGAGGGTTGGTTCAAATCTTGGAAAGATAGAAAAGCTTTGGCAAAAAAGTTGGTTCCTAATCCAGCTTACCATTGTTAGCCTCAGGCTTGTGACATGCCTTGAACATTGAATGACACAACCCTCTCCCTCACCTGAACTTTTTATTACCAAAAAATTCAAATGAATCAAAATTCACACATAGCACATAGTCAAATGTATGATGGCGTGTTCAAAACGTGCTCCTACACAAAAAAAAAAATCACTTATATATACAATTATAACCTTATTACTAATAGATGTGAGATCTCTAATAGACATATATATTAACTTCATTTGATTACCATGTGTCTGCAGGTTGGTAAGCATGCGGTTTTGTCGATCCTTCTTGCAACATTTGCTGGATTTGGTGTTGTGATGAGTGGAAGTTCAATTGTTTTGGAGTTTTCTAGATGGAGAAGAAGGTGGCAAGCTTTATCAGAGCAGCAGCATGGTTCTCTAGATGGGATAACAATTCAGAGCTGAATCGGTTTCTGTATGTGGTTTCTTTCATAGTGTGAAGTGTGAACTAAGCTAAGGGAATTGGCAGAACAGAACTAATTTGCCAATTGTCATTAAGCTGTGGCAGGATTTTACTACTGTGTACATGTGCATGAGACTTCATTGTACAGCTTATATTGTCGTAAAAGAGAATAAACATAGGAGTGGAGTTTCTCTTGCTGTGGAATTTTTTTTGTTTATTTCTTTGTACTAAGAGCAAAATAAAAATGCTTCCGGCCTTTATTTTTTATGCAGTCCTTGCTGAGACAAAACCTGTTTGTGAAGTAGTAAAATAGTAGTACGTTGAAGCCTTGAAGGGGATAAACTTTTACGTCTTTAACATATAATTGATAATTAACCTCGTATGACAACATTACGACATATAATCGATTGTCGTTGATATCTTTTGTAAATTAAATTTTTTTAAATGCATGTCATGTGGAAATTAATTGAGATTATGAATACTTACTGGCAGGGACGAATTAACATGAGACCTGTCCTGACTTTTTCATAACTTAAAAAAAATTTATGGTATATTATTATATTTTAATGTTAGGATTGATAATTGTTTATTTTATTTATGAAGATAATTACTTTATTCTATTTTTAGTTTATTTTCATTTCAAAGATATTTTTTTTCTAAACAAAGACTTTATTTCTATTTTTATAGTATTTGTTGTGGACATAATTCATTTTCCAATTTATTAAGATAAAATATTTAAGTATCATTTATTTATTTATTTATCTTTAAGAGTCTTTCTCTTTCTATAATTTGTTGTTACAATTTTAAAAGTCATAAATATTTAAACTTGTAATTAAATGACTTTATTAGTTTTCTTTTTATATTCATTTTTTTATTATTTCAAAATTAAATGTTATTTATTATTAATCTTTGCAAATGGGACAAATTTATAAATATTATATAAGTGATTAATAACTTAAATTTTGAGATATTGTCAATAAATATTCCCTCTTTCTACCACTATTTTCTTCTCCTCTTGCTCTTGTTTATACTTTTTTTTCTTCTCTAATGTGCTTTTAGCTACATAATTTCACACACATTATTGTGTAAACTTTGAGAAAACAAACTCAATATTAAGTTCCAGTATTGCATAAACATTGTCGATGCACAATATTTTTTTTTCCTCTTACTTTCTGACAATTTGAAAATAAATTGTTACCGTTAACTTCTATTGTTTAAATGATAATATGATGATCATAATATAATTTATTTTTGTTTAATATTTTTTATAACAAAATTAATAGATTTTGTTTTTTGTGAAACTTATAAGTAATGTATATACCAATTTTTATTATAAATCCATGATTATTAGTGATACGTGAAACTGGTAATTGACATTTATGTTTATTTCATTTTTTATATAAATATATTTTCAATTATATATTATTAAATATTTTATATAAACTATAATAATTATATTTTATATATTTATTTGATTAATTTTAATTTTAAAAATTGACCCAAGTATAACTTTGACTTACTTTCTATTTTGTAGTCATGAAGTACGTAATAATTTATTGTTGATTGAGGATGTACCCATTTAGGATTAGAAATGGATGCACTGTGGTGAGAAAAATCAAGAAAAGATAAAGTGTTACGATTTTACTTTTACATCCAAAATTTTTATTTTATAATATAAGTATGGACTTAAATATATGTTTTTAATTCTTTAAATTTTATAATTTGTCTTATTACATTCACATTAAAACTCAATTAATATTTGAATATATTTTAAATTTTTTAAATTTTATAATTTATCTTATTAGATTTAGAATAAAACTCAATTAATATTTGAGTCAATATAAATATAATAAAAAAAATGTACACTACATTTTTATTAATAAATTGTTGATTTGATTTATTTTTATGTTGTGATGTATTATTGTTTATTTGTTGAGAAATATTAAAATTAAATTTTTTTTAAACAGTTTTAATCGTTAAGAAATGTCTCTAAGCAGAAAATGAGTTTGACTTATAGGAGAAGGTATAAAGTCATTTTTAAATAAGTGAACTTCATAAGTCTATTTTCTTAAAAATGTTAAGAGAGTCTATAGAGAGGAGCTTTGAAATCCAAAGAGGACAATTTTCTCTTTCGACTTACCAGATCTCTTTTTTCCCCTTCCCTAGGATTGATTTTGGTGGTTGTCTTACGATTCAAGTCCATAAAGTCAAGAATCAAAGTAGTTGTTGGTGATGGTGCGAAATAGCTCAAAGCATTCTTTTGCTTTCTTCTACCTTATTTCTGATTAATTTTGAGGTAATGGAAACTAATGCCTGATTCTAGTTTATTGATAGAGTTGCATGTTGTTTGATTTTACTTGAATCGTTGTTGTGTTGATGATTATGAGTCAAAATTCTTGCATGGTGGGTTTTTGAGAGTTTTGACCATGTTGGGGAAACTTTGGGTGAACAGTGAACAATTCTTAGTTGCATATTATGCTTTTTGTTGGAAAAGAGATGGATACATTGTGTGGGTGTGATTTCCATCATTTCATGTTGAATTTTTCCTACGTTTTAGGTGTGGAAAGCCAAAATCAGGGATTCTACCAAGTGCAGAATTCATCATTGCACTGAGTGCAACTTCATAGTGCTAGGCGTGACACGGATTGGAGGCTCTTTGCTTCGCTCACATCGAGCATGAAATTGCTAGCTTTGAGCATAAGTTAGAAGGGATCTCTCTTACTTGATCACACCGGGTATGGTTTGAATGATGTCAAGCATGGATGCCCTTGGAGCTCTTTGACTTGGTAACATTGGACCTTAGTGGAGTGGCGCCAAGTGTGATTAAGATAGAGACTCTCTACCTTAATAACATTGGACACTAGTTTAGTGACATCGAACATGAGTCAAGTAGATGATCTTTGTTTGAAATGGAGCTAGTGTGATTTAGTCACACCAGGCGTGATTGCAATTGAGGCTCTCCACCTCATTCACGTCAGGTGTGGATTAAGTAGCGTCGAGCGCGGACAAGCTTGAGAGTTCTTTGCCTCAATGATGTTGGGCTCAGGAAGATTAACATTGGGCGTGGATTACCTTATGAAAATGTGTTATTTTCATGATGAAATGTTGAACATGTATGCGGTAGTTGTATCTATTACATGTTGTATGTTTGTTCTTTATACATTGATCTGGGATAATGTATATTCATGATTATCTTGTTGAAAATGTTGAGGCAATGGTGTTGAGAATGCTCAACACATTAGGGTGTGTTGTGTTCATTAACTTAGGACTAGAGGAGAAAGTATTTTAAAAGTTGGATATTTCATTATGAGGGTATTATTGTGGTGCTCTAAGAGCCCAATTGTTGAAAACCCTTATAGGATAGTTAACTCTTGAAGTGGATAATTGAGTCTCCTCTAGAACCTTAGTTAATGCAACATGCGAGCAAGGTCAAGGCATATCGACTATAAGTGACCATAGTATAGGGACTAGGTCGAGCTATACTAATTATAAGTGACCAATGTTTATCTATGGGGGTTAGGTTGAGCCATGCATGTACAAAATAACCAAATGAGTAAGGTACAAAACTGGGGCCAAATTCCTTAACTAAATACTAGAAGAAACATAATATTTGGAGGGTAGTTAGTGAATTAATCTTATAAAAGGCTTAATTATGTAGGCTAAAGACATGGTAGACTCATATCCAAATTATTTTATCTTGACAGGAATACTAGATTTTTCTAGTTTAAAAGGTGAAATCTAAGAAATCATGTTGTTGTGGAATTTTATTCTCACAATGTGATATTCAACTTTAAAACAACCTCCCCTATAGTTCTAAGTCAATCAATACAATAAAAATTAATGCCCGAAGTATTCTCAATACAACCACCTCAAATTTTTAACATACAACTTTTCAACTACTCAATTATCAATATACATTATCCTAAATCAATGTATAAAGAACTAATAACAATTATCAACATACAATGTGTAATAGACTTAACTAGCATATAATGTTCAACACTTAGGCAAGAAAATAATAATTTTTCATTAAGCAATCCACGCCCGACACCATTCTCTTCGCGTCCGATATCATTGAGGCAGAGAGCCTCTAACTCGCCTATGCCCGACTTCAATCTACCTATGCTTAGTGTGGATGAGACAAAGAGTCTTTATGACAATCACACTTGGTGTGACTAATCTCACGCCCGACCCCATCTCAGGTAGAGAACCTTTGCTTGACGTCACTTAACTAACGTCCGACGTAGTCTAGACAAAGAACTTCTGACTTGATCATACCTAGCACCACTAAAATAGGGCTCAATGTCACCAAGTTAGAGAGTTCCAAAGGCATCTATGCTTGACGCGATTCAAACCATGCTCAACATGACTAAGTTAGAGATTTTTCCTCGAACTCATGCTCGATGCTACCAATCTCATGCTCGATGTCAGTGAGGTGGAGAGCCTTTGACCTATGTCATGCCCGACCCCTTGAAGCAATGTCCTATGCAATAGTGAAATTTGCACTTGACAGAATCACGAATTTGCTTAAGACCACACGAAATTTAGATAATACCAACATGCAATGGTAAAAACAACACCTACACACCATACACGACTCAATTCCAACCAAAAGAACAACATGCAACAACAATTTGACTAGAATCACCAATTCACATTGTTGAGATTTCTGTTGAAACACTTTTGTTAATATTTGTAAACACTACACTATGTTGCTAAAAAAAACAATGTTACAAAAAATCAGTGGAAGGACCATGGATTAAAGTATAATATTCACATGAGATAAATCTACAAAAACCTTTGTCAAAAATATCATATGACATTGTGAGCATTTTAGAATCTAAAAACAAAACCAGAGGCTGGAAAATGAGAATCCAAATAAGTTTACATCTAATAAGATTCTTTATACCTCCCAACTCTTCCCACAATGCAGCCAAGAGATTTAGCAGAAAAACGATTGGTATAATGAACTGTTGTCTCAAAAGAACCTGTGCCAAACTAAAGGAGTTGAGAAAGAGCTAATTCAGTATAGGCAAAGATGATTTTTTGTTGTCTAAACCAAGAGGATATTGATGAATTTAACATTATTATGTAGCGTCTAGAATATCACTATATATTAATTAATTGTGAAGATATAAATGTTGTAGTTGAATGCATTTTTCCTTAAGGTACTTTACTGATTTAGTAGAAGGTTTTACTTGTCAACTAGATCTCCACATGATTTCAAGTTTGAAACATTATTTACATCTTACAATTTCTACATGATTTCAAGTTATACTTATGCGAGTTTTATACTATTTCGACTTTCAAGGTGTAAGTGACACTCACACATAGGGGCTATAACATAAATTTGCTAAGCACTTTTGGAAGGAATCATGAAAAAAATAACAACATAAAGGTCCCTGCATTTCATAATGGCTCTGCAACCAAATATAAGCAAGCATGCACATTTTCCATTTTTTTAATAATGGGTGTTAGCTTATTATATATCCAGTAAAACATATCATCATAAATTCTGATTGTTGGAGAGAGAATTTTTAACTGCAAAGCTGTTTTGAACAATGTTAATCAAATTCAAAACCAACAAAGTACCCACAAAATTTCATTTTCTCGATCAACAATTTTGTAGGCCTGAGGAACCAGCAGCACGTAAGAATAATCAATGTAATTACAACCAAGAGCAATTATGTCAATTCGCAGGAATTTTCCCTACCTCCATACGTAAATAATTTGCTTTCTTTTGGTTTCCTACTTGAAGGCAAGGAAGGTGAGTATATTTAATTGTGAAACCATACATCTCTTGGAAGTATTCAACTACTGACTTCATAGTTGAGTTCTCATCAACAGGAAACCTAAAGTGATACATCCTCATCATTAAGAAAACTAGTGGAAAATAATTAGAACTTCTTTGAACTTAATGTAGAACAAGAATCACTGGACCAGAAAGAAAAATTACTTACATGAGTTCTCTGGTTGGCTGAGAAGTCAAACCAGAAACACGATACTTTCTTCTAACACTCCCTCTGTGGGTAACTTCAAATTTAACTCCTCTGAGGGCTTTCTTAATCTGTTTGACATCTTAAAGTAGCTCTGTAAGTTTTCATTATTAAGACGACACAAAAAATGAACTAGGCAAGCTTTGTTCATATAAGTACTTTAATGCGATCAGCATCAGACAATTGCCTCGCCAGGATATCTTTTCCTAATAGCTGGCCAACATATTCCACAACTGGAAGAGGTTCAATGAATGCAACAGAAGCCATATCTATGAAATGCAAGAAGAGTACAAAGAGAAATAAAAGGTTAAGTAACGTACTTTCATTAGCAAACAAATGATATCTATGGTGAGTAATATACCAATATTGAGGGAAAGACCCATCTGAGTAGGCCTTATGCTTTGGTAAAATCCACACCATGACTCCAAACCCTCTCCAAGCCGTTGAGGTGTTCTAATATCAGGTGAAAAGAAGGATCTCCCGATTGGACAAAACCTTTAGAAAATGCAGATTTTGTGAGAAAATTTAAAAACACATACTTTGAGCTCCAATTTTCCCTCAATTATTATCTGGTAAAATTACCTCTTAGATGATAGCTCTCTCAATACAATGTCAAGAATCTGGAGTGCTTCCTGTGGAGCATCAGCACGTTTACCAGCTAAAAACTGACCCAAGTGGTGCAAGTTTTCCCTGGCAACAAACTTGATCACCACTCTATATTCTCTTTCCCTTCTGAAAATGGTGCAACTGTCAGTTGGAAAATGAACTTAATTCTAATATCAGTTGGAATTCAAAACAGAAGTGAATGTGATTAGCCAAACGCATCACAAAAACTTGGTTCGCCTACTTGGATATTGTGATGAGGGAGAACATCACATTCTGGTGTATGGGGCTACACATTTAATTATATATTTTTCTTTTAACTATTTGGTATATAATTAAAAAAGAAGAGTTATTGTAATGTTTCGAGGCAAGAGACAAGAATAGGGAACTTAACTACAAATTGTAATACAAGATTTTTAAATATATTTGTAATACTAAAATATTCAAGAGAGAATAAGCATAGGGGAGAAGAAGATCCACTTACTTTGGTCCATGAAATAGAATTGCAAGATCTTTAGTCATCTTTTCTGACTCCACTGTCTCAACACATGCAACACATGCAGCTTCCAACTTATGAGTAAAATCCCCTAATTTTTCATTATTATCCAGCTTGGCTCTAGTAAATAATAACATAATCATGTCAATAACAGGTTCAGAGAAAAGGGAGAGAATAAGGGAGAACATGAAAGAGGTTAAAATAAATAAATCAATTTATACAAGAACATAAATATAACAAAATTAAACCAAGCGCAAGGGACAAGTGGGTAATTAATCCGACTGATGAGGCAATGGCAGCATGCAAAGGGAAAAATTGCTAAAATATTAATATTCTAATTCGCACCAGCACAGAAGTCATGAGACCCAATGAGCCAAAATCTAA